AAGACTTAACTACGTAACTCCGAAACAGAGAATTCTCGGAGTTATCTGGTAAGGGTAGAAATTAGGGTTGTACACGTACTATACAATATATATATATATAGTCCATGTGTTAATATATTAATTCAGAGAAAGAAAAAAAAATTAAAAAAAAAGGTAAGTACAAAAGCTACAGCCGGTTGGAGTCAGGAGAAAAAAAAGATATTAATTCTTGCCTTAAGTTTATTACAATAAAGGTAAGGAAAAAATGGAAATGGGAGAGAGGTTGTGTCGAAAACTTCTCTTCAATATTCTGATGGTAATCTACATTGAGGAATCGCAGCTCATTACATGGAACTCTAGAACAGAAAAGGTTATGAAACACATGGATGGATTGTCCTAGAAAAGGACTATAGAGACAAATTTACTTGTGTAGGGAGGTTATAAGGTCTTGGGCGCATGCCTATAAAAGGACACTCCTGACAGAACCCGACTCAAATTCTACTTTGGAGTCTGAGCCAAACCCTGTGCGTGTCCAACACTTGGCAGGTGCCGAGCACACTTGACCGAATTGCCCTTTTAATTAAGACTCAAAAAATTCTTTTAAGGTTTGATTTCTGTCAAAAATTCAGCAGTCCCCCTTGTAATTCGCTTGCTTCCCAAAATTTTCACCTGTATAAAATGCAACTCATGTTCACAATCGTTCAGCAAACAAGAATTCCATCCATACTCAATTCAACAGTGATTCCAATGGAACTCAGGCCCTTACCACACAATCAAAACACTAACATTCACCTTATTATAAACGAAAAATTACCCAATTACAACGGATTTCAACTAAACCAATTCGAAGCACAATTCAACAATTTATTTTACGGCTACACCTAGGTTGCCTACGTACCCTTACCGAGGGATCAAGTCACACGTAGTTCTTTCATACTACGTGTATTTGCAAGAGATGAAGTATTTGCAAGAGAAAGGAAGTATGCACACAAACAAGACATGGACAAGAAAGATCAGGAAACCATGATCATGGATACGAGCCATATGTCCCCTAAAACAAAGGCATTTTGGAAGATAGAACAAATGGATGTTATAAGAATAAGGCTTTTCAGTGACGATGGACCTAGCAACACGGATTGGTTAAATGATGAAAGCCATTAGGTTGTATTGGTTGTCTTTTATTTAATTAGTTGTATTTCTTGTATTTTATTTAATTTGTTGTATTGCTTGTCTTTTATTTGATTAGTTGTAATTCTTAATTAGTTGTATTGCTTTTCTTTTATTGAATAAAGAAAGTATTCAATAATATGGCTACTTATTAAAAACACCGTATACATCAAAACAAAGCATAATTCATTACAAAACACAAAGAAATCATAATTCATTACACAACACAACTAAAGCATAATTCAAAACAAAACACAAACAAAGTATAATTCAAAATAAAGCATAATTAAAAACTAAGCATTAAACTTGACTTCACTACCTGTGATTATCTCTTAGCGCCCATAAGTGCTCAATCAAGTCAACTTGATGTCATTCGTGAACATAAGAAAACTGCATTTTTCGTATAATGGTCAATCACACGGTTGTTGTAACGACTGTCCCTAATTAACGGTTCATGTTGCAGTGGTTGTCCATTTGCTCCCACGGGCCATTCATAAATTTTTGTCAATGTCGTGTTCATGGGATCGGTTTCAAACACCTCTGGTTCATCATAGTCATACTCATCCCCAATAATTATGTTATGGAGGATGATGCATGTCATCATAATTCTCCGAAGCACCTCTTCATCAAACATACGAGCAGCCCCCCTAATTATTGCCCACCGAGCTTGGAGGATACCAAAACACATTTCCACATTTTTCCTATAACCCCCTTAATAGGCAATAAAAGATTTTTCCTTCTCTGATTGGAGATGCGGAATTGTTTTAACGAATGTCATCCACTTCGGGTAAATTCCGTCTTCTAGGTAGTACCCACCCTCGTAGACGATATTGTTGAATTCATACGTGATTTGAAGGGCTTGAGCTCTCAACACATCGTTGAACATCGAGGATTGACCGAGCACGTTGAGGTCTTTTTAAGATCCTGCAACTCCGAAAAAAGTATGTCAAACCCAGGTATCAAATGATACAACGGATTCCAAAATGATACTTTTTTGGCCCTTCCTATTCCCATAATCTCCTTGCTAGGCAGTTGGTCAATTCTTCCATTGCTAGTGCATGCAGTCGATGCTTCCAATTATGCCTGGGAAACCTTGAGCTTCATCTTTTTGCAGGTCCTTAGGCGTAGGTTTGCGGAGGTAATCCCTCGTGTAGAGAGTTTTAATTGCATCACAGAATTTGACCAAGCTTTCTAGGATAGTGGATTTTCTGATCCTAGAAATCTCATCCATCTAGTCTGCAGATGCACCAAACGCTAGCATCCGTAGAGATTCTGTAAGTTTTTGCTCCAAAAGAAGCCCTAAAACCCCAGTAACATCATACTTTCGAACAAAGTATGCATCGTAATTGCAAACATCATGCATGATTTTATTAAACACATGGGGTTGAATTCTATATTGGCCTTGAAAATCAAAACTTTAGTACAACGATTTTGGGATAAAGTAATCTTCCAAGAGATTCTTACCCCGAGAATGCCTGCGTCTGTCCACATTCGAGCCACGATATACTTGTGAACCACAATGGGCTTGGCTTAATTGATGGAGCATACCCACTACCATAATAACTTGATTATCATCTTCTTCCCCTTCCCTTTCTTCTTCAGCATGTTTGTTCATTCTTTGACCACTTAATTAGATTATTGTTATTTCGTATTTTCTAGAAGCATTGTGTTCATCTATTTTGTTGCTAGCAATTGGATGCTTTAATGATTTTCAAATTTTTTTAATTTTTTGCAAGGATGATCTATTAATGAAGACTTAAAAAATAGATGGTTTTGGATTGTTTAAAAAACAAAAGTCAAATGTTTATTTGAGGGACCCCTCAAGGGGACTATATAAATATATATATATATATATATATATATGGGGGATTCATCACAGATTTGACACAAGTTTTTAACCATTTAATTAGACTACAATGAATGGTTAAAATTAAACAAACCAATTTTTTCTTTAAATAATTATTTATGAAAATTAACTTTAATTAACTTGCTATTATATTTTCTCTCTCTTCATTATGTTTTCCCAATTTGCTAAAAGCATTAACATTTTTCTCTCACGTCATCTTCTTCTTCATGCCTTCACTTGTTTTTCTTCTCCACACACCATTTTCCTCCAAAAACAACCAACCCAGCCAGCCCATATGGCAAAATCAAATACACAAAAAGGAAGATTGACATAAGAAGGAAGGTTGATCTCTGTGTTTTGCTTTTCCTGGGAAACTATTAAATTAAAAATGCTATTTTCCCTTGCTGGGAAACAACAACAACAAAAAAAAAAAAAAAATTAGATCAAGCATTGTGAATACGATTAAATAAAAAGATCCAAAATAATCTTTGTTCTGGTGAATACGATTAAATTAAAACTGCTATTTTCCCTTTCTATTTTTGTTTTCTTTTAAAGAGCGCGATTGCCTCAAGAAGTAGAAGCAGAGAGAGAGAGGTTTTAACTTATACGAAAGAGCCCAGAGTTGAATTATTCATTACTCAGAGTCTCAGCTAATGACAACAAAGTTTTAAACAGAAGATATTGTCCTAAATTCCTATACTTGTAGGGCATTAACTTCATCCCACATGACAAGAATTTCATAAAAACATATGCATACAAACTTCTGGCTGTTGTCCCCTCTTTCACATTCAACAACAAAAATATAGCAAGCACAAAGAAGCCAAAGATGCTAACGACTAGTAACTCTACTGGTAATGTAGGCAAGAAAAGTCAAGAATTGAATGATTCATTAATTGCCCTCATCTTATGGCCACAAGGTTTTATGAAATCACGGTGGAAAATTAGAATGCTCGTTTTCAATTAGTTTCCTAAATCAGGAGAAGCTACCCAAAAAAAAAAAAGGCCTACTCTAACGGTACAGACTTGGTAACCTCTTGGTATGACCAACGACAAAAAGTATTGACGAAAAACATAACAAAACCAAAAGCATTGACCAGAAACACGAAACCCCAAAAAAGTTTTGTTATCATGGGGTTGGGGGCATCATTCATAGAAACTCCTACCCGGTTGGAATTGATAACATAAAATATATTCCCAACAACAGAGCCGCCGCCTGTGCCGTTGGAGGCCTGTGAGGGCACAGGACTCAGTTGAGGAGCAGGAACATGTACAGGTGGTGCCTTGCTTAGCAAATCTTCATGAATCTCATCAATTATCTTCTGACGTTTAGAAGTGCCATATTTTGGGGATGCTTCACGAGATTTGATGGCCAGATCACGCCTTTCTTCCGTACTGTATTTTACTGAACACAATTCACCATCTGGGTAGGTGGGCATTTCCTCAATAAGTGCAAGTAAAGCATTTTGCACGCTCCATGATGACTGCCAGTTTGATAATAGCCTTAAGCTGAGGTTGGTTCGGGTTTTGAAGTGACCATTTTCCGTCAAAAACATGAATGAAGGAGGCTTCGATGGGTGTCCCTCCGGAAACTGGATCATCCCATGATAAATCCCACCCTCGAATTCAGTTCCTCTAGGCCCTTTGATAGCAAATTGCCATTCATATGAGTTCCAATTGAGCATGCGGCACTCGAAATCGTAGGAGGGATTGGATTCAATCTCATTATACTCCTCTAGAACTCGCTTCTCCCCTGAATTCTCCATGTTGCACTTTTCCTCAGCTATCACACTTCGATCCAATTCCGTCTGCGTTGATCCGACTCGATCCACAACCACCTCTTCCTGTTAACAAAACTTTAAAAAGTGCAATTATTCTCAAAATACAAAGCGAAGAGATGAGGAAAGTGTAATACTCCAAAAAATTTAATGTAGATTTTCATATTTCTAGTTTGACAAAAATGCCCTTACGTGAAAAGTTGTTATTTACTATTTTGTTAAAGTTGTTTAGTTTTAGTTGAAATAAACCTTGTTATAAGGAAGTAGATAAGGTTTGAACTTTTCTTTAGGAGGATCCCTTGACTTCAGGGACTGTTAGTCATGAGATTAGTCATGGGGTCGTGTCTGTTAGTCATGGGATTAGTCATGGGGTCGTGGTCTTCTGCTTTCTGTTTTGTATAGGCTATTTAAAAGCTACTTTCCATTTAATAAAGTATTGCATTCTCTCAATTAAAAGCTAGATATTGACAATTGGTATTAGAGCTCCAAATTGGGGCCTGAAGAGCAAGGAAAAGCAGCAACTCTTATCATAGCAAGTATCAATGTCGACTGAAGGAAGCAGCTTTGTTTAACCATCAATCCCACGCTTCGATGGTCACTACGATCATTGGAGCATGTTAATGGAGAATTTTTTGAGATCTAAAGAATACTGGAGTCTCGTGGAGAATGGAATCACAACATATGCAGAAGGAACAGTGTTGACAGAAGCTCAACTCAAAACCTTAGAGGATCAGAAGCTGAAAGACTTGAAGGCCAAGAATTACTTGTTTCAAGCCATTGATCAAGCTATTTTGGAGACAATTTTGAAGAAGGATACGGCAAAGGATATCTGGGATTCCTTGAAGAAAAAGTATCAAGGCACGGCTAGAGTCAAACGTGCACAACTGCAAGCTCTTCGCAAAGAGTTCGAGATGTTGCAAATGAAGAATGGAGATATAGTCACTCACTATTTTGCTCGAACATTGACTGGGTCTATGACACCTAAGTACAACTATGTTGTATGTTCAATTGAAGAGTCAAAGGATATTGATGCCCTTTCAATTAATGAACTGCAAAGTAGTATGCTGGTACATGAACAAAGGATGACCTGTCATGAAATGGAAGAGCAAGCTCTAAAGGTTAGTCAAGATACTTATTCACCAAGAAGAGGAAGAGGTCAAGGCAGTTTCAGAGGTCGTGGAAGAGGGAGAGGCCACCAAGGTTCATTTGACAAATCAATTGTGGAGTGCTACCACTGTCATGAACTTGGACATTTTCAGTATGAATGTCCTCAGAAGGTGAAGGAGTACAAAAGACAAGAGAAGTGTGAGCTGCAACATTAAGCCTAAAGACAAGAGAAATTGTTTTCAAATGCAATTGTGTGTTAGGAGAAGTGAGTGTGATTAGTGCTCTCAATTGTATAATTAGATTTTTACTTCTCCTAGGCCTATAAATAGTGAGGTTCTCCAAACTTGTAAACACACCCCAAGGGGTCAAACAATTCTCTAGAGCTCCTCTCCCTTATCTCCCTCAAATTCTCTTAGTTTCCCTTTCTAGTTCTCAATTATTGTAACAAAATCCTTTTACTAAATTTTCCTTCATCAAATTCTCTTAAGTTCTCAAACACTTCCCCCTTATCTTCTTCTAAATTCTTCAAACACCTTCTCTTCTCTTCCAAAAGTCTCCATGTTCTCAAACATCTTTCCCTTCGTTTCCACAATTCTCCAAGTTCTCAAACACTTTCTTCTCCCTCCTCCAAGTTCTCAAACACTTTTCCATTCTCTTCCAAAAATTCTCCAAGTTCTCAAACACTTTCTTCTTTCTCCTCCAAGTTCTCAAACACCTATTTCTTTTCCAAATTCTCTAAGTTTTTCTTTAAATTGTTGTACAAAACTCTTTTACTTCGTAGTTGTAATTTATTTTTCATTGTAATGTAAATTCTTTTCTTAAGTATTTAAGTTTGATTAGTTTCCAAATTTCAATTATGGTTCTTGTTCTTATTCATTATACTTATAAGTTAATATGCTAGTTTGAATGATTGATCACCATTAAGGCTTGCATGTTAGCTATCTTGATTTGAATTAAGAGTAGACACCATGCTTTAATTCAAATTAAACTATGAATAGGAAGAGTATGTATGAAAATTCAACAACAAGGATTAGATGCATGTTTGGTTGTTTAAAACATTCTTCTATGCTTAATGGATTCCTAATGCTTAGGTTAGACAACAAATAAATCAAATTAGGAATACAAGGTTATGACCAAACACCATGGCTTAATCATACTTTAGCTAGAATCAATCCGTTAATCTAAATTGAACTTGGGAACTTATTTGCTTGAGTTATTTTCTTATTTTCTCTCTTCCTTCTTTCATGTTCTTTTGTTTCTATTGCTGTTTCTTTCTTCCTTCTTTCATGTTCTTGTGTAGGG